CACTGGTGGAGGCAGCTACAGTTGTAGCCAAAGCTGCCCTGGGGCAGACTGACAGAAGCAAGGCTGCCATATCGCGCCATCGGCCCCTCTGGCCATTACCAGTAGGCGGTAGGTGACGTGTCTCGCCCAAGGACACAACGACCGAGACTGTCCGAGCCGGGGCTCGAACCGGCAACCTTCCGATTACAAGACGAACTCCCAACTCTTGAGCCACGATCGCCACAAACAAAATGTTCACGCAAACCAGTAAACAATTTAATACAAGTACTGTTGAGAAACTATAATACAAAAATTACAATTAAAATTCTCAAAAACACAAAACTGGGTGAAAATAATATGTAAACAACTTAACAACCCCCAAAGCGTGTAAGTCAGGTCACGTGACAGCGCAACATCTAAACACAAGGGGGAGGGGAGCAAAGTGTGTCTGCTCTGCGCTGACACAGGAGCGGCGAGTCCAGCGACCTGGCTGTTTGCACAGCATTGCAAACAAAAGCGGAACTTAAAGGGGTCTCCACCCTGACTTCCAACCGGAGCGGAGCTTACAGCGCCGGTGCACAGACGCCTGCCCACGGGTCCGAGTAACAGCTAACAACGGCTTCAACGAGGCGCCGTGACGTCAGAATTAAGGTGTGGGTTTTTTGGATCAATCTTTATTCGAATTGAGACCAAAGAACAGGAGCAGCAGCTAACTCAGTAAAGAGATTACCGGAAGTGTGCTCGGACACAGAGGTCAGAAGTTAAATCAGCCTAAACAAACACACTGAAGCTTTTTGAATATCATTCACACTCACACCTAGTGACAATTTGGGTTATCCAATTAACCTATCCCCACAAGCTGCATGTCTTTGGACGGCGGGAGGAAGCCGGCTGACCCGGAGAGAACCCACGCAAACACGGGGAGAACATGCAAACTCCACACAGAAAGACCCCGGCCTGATGGTGGAATTGAACTCAGGACCTTCTTGATGTGAGGCAACAGTGCTAACCACTGTGCCACCGTGCTGCCCCAAAAAAAACACTGCCTTATTTTTTCTCTTCTGCTTTATATTGTTTTTAAGTGCCCCTTGGTATGTTTTTCCTCCTGTGCATGAATTATTATGGCACACAGGGTGCTCAACCAAGCAGGAAAAGGACTGCCTCATTGCAAATGAAGAGTGTGAAGCTAAAGAGGCAGATGGTGGAACTATTGAAAATAAACATCCCTTCCAACAGCTGTACCCTCTCTAATAAAATGTTAAAAATAAGGGTACTTGATAGAGGAAGTAGCATAGAGAACACCAAATAATGGAAATCCAAAGGATATCTTTGTTTTTATAAGGCTCCCTACCGCTGAGGGGGTTTTACATGTTTGACAGTAATTAGATTTAAAAATTTTCTGACAGCAGGTATAATTAATTTGTTTAAAGACCAAGAGGATCATCCCCAGCATGCATAGCAGCTCTTCTGTGATACAATTTATCTTTATTCGTCCTCACACCTTATAGAAACTAAGATTGCTGCTGCAGCTTTGCTCAGACAGTGGTACTTTGCCATAAATTAAGGTAATATACCTAAGGTAAAAAATTTAAAGCCTGTGCAAATTTAGTATAAAAAGAATCTGCATATTTTTCCATTTAAGAAACTTGAATGACCTAAAATAGCTTGAATCCACTCTCAGTGCTCCTGGCTTTGCTTGATTTGCACCTGGTCTTCTACACACACAATTAGAGCTGGGCGATATGAGATTTTTTCATATCACGATATGTTTTTTTCATTTCAGGCGATAACGATATCTATCACGATATAAGCCAAATAACTATATTTGTAAGATTTAAATGTGCCGTTGCTCACAAGTAAAATGTGAAATAATCAGCAGCTTGTTTTTATTTAAATATTTATTTCCCATAATAAGTTCAACAGGGTAGATGTACTTAAGGAACATGAGACTTTTTCAGATAAATAAAGGCAAATATTGCAAACTACACAAAAGGCAGCCGCTAAAGCGTTTAAGTTTCAAAGTAGAACAAACAAAACAGACTAAATTGTCAATTCCACTTAGAAACAAAATATTAATTCTAAAAATAAATCTTAGTTTGTTTTACAGAAGAACAGACAAAACTAACTTTTGTCAATATCAAATAAACTGAGAACTAAAAGGAAATTCTCAATCTCTCCTTGTTGTATAGCTGAGCTTTTCAAACAGTTTTAACAGTTACTTTAGTCTGACAAAAGCCGAATGACGAATTAGCGCTTCCAGTCAGAGACTGAGGCTACGTCCACACGTACACGGGTATTTTTGAAAACTGAGATTTTCTGTTTTCGTTTTAAAAAATAATCCCGTCCACACATAAAGGCAGAAATGAAGGAAAACGCTGCTATGAACATGCCAAAGCAGCAGGTGGCGCTAGATTCCTAACCGTGCAGAAATGTTGGCCAATCAGAAGTCTAGAAGCCTCGGTGGGAAAAAGTAAACAAAGCTGGGGCATAGAAGCAGAACCGAGTCGTATGTGTGGAGGGACAGTAACTGTGTGTATATGTAAGCATTTAAACACTGCAGAGAGTAGAATTAACAGTAACAGTATTGTAGAAATTCATTTCACCTAAACAATAACGTGGCACACAGTGTGACGCATGCACCAGTTTATTGTATTTCCAGACTTGCTTTCGGCACAATTTACAGTGCACGCTACTCTGTTTTTTGTCAGACTTGAAATAGCCGAAATACCTTCACACTACGGAACTTCTTTGGCTCTTCCGTTCGACAATCTCTCCGGCATTGGAACCATCATCTGTTTTCTCTTCGGTCACGCTCGGTTGATTTTTCTAGTCGGCACAATCATTTCCTCCATTACGCGCTGGCTCCATTACCCGCTGGCTGCTTCCCAAACAAACACACGTGCGGCTTGGCACTTGTGCTGTACGTAACAAGTCACGCGACGTGACGCTGCGGCTGTGATTGGTTCGGCTCTGCGCTACTTAGTTTGGATTGGCTGACCTTTTTTTTTAATTTTTATTTATTTTTTTTATTTTAAGAGGACAAGAGCGGCGAGGTCTATCGCGATAGCTTAATTTCTCTATCGAGTAAAAGTTATATCGCGATACATATCGTTATCGTTCTATCGCCCAGCTCTACACACAATATATGTAACTTACTTCCCTCTATCATAACAGCCAACTCTCCCTTTACCAGTCATAGTCCCTACATTTAGAGTCCCTACTCTCACCTCCAGACTTCTACTTTCCTTCTCTCTTGTTGCCCCTTTTACACTTTCTCCTTCTTCTCTTCATTGTCTTCAGCCGACAGTAACACAGTTTCCACCACCACACTGTTTCTCAATAGCATATAAAAAGAACATCTAACCAATAGTCAAACATGGTGGTAATGTCATGGGCTTTTGCTGCTTCAGGACTGGGACGACTTGCTGTAATTGATGTAACCATGGATTCTGCTCAGAAAATCCAGAAATCCAGAAAAAGCAAATGTCTGG